GATATGGGCAGCAGTTTGAGTCGTCTTCAGAGGATGTTTCTGAGAGATTTAGCATCTAGTTTTGAATTGATTTATAAATCATTCAGTAGATTTATTTGCTGATGTCCTGTTCATAATTTAAAGTGTTCTAAGGATGCGATCTGAAGTAATAATTACTCTTGAACTAAATCCAATACGATATTGCTGTTAATACTAAACCATACGTGGAACCGGTGTACTGTACGGTGGGTCTACATTTGACGAATAAGTTTTCGTTCATAGTGGGTGCTTGGCTGAAGCGCATTGAATGCTAATGTTACCAGTCTAATGCATAATGCATCAGCGTTTAAAATCAATTATCGACAGTTACGACCGGATGATTCAAAGCATGACAGGGTACGGTAGCGTATAAGCTGGTGGTCGAAGTGGATGATAATGAATCTGAACTTGCCAGTGGTCCGTCATCTTGCTGTATAAGATTTTTACAGATCTTGCTGCATCTGTTCCTCCAACATTAAGGCGTTCTTTTAACTATGCACCATAATGTGACAGCTTTTGCGAATCCTTCCTGATACTGAAATATTTACCTGACCTCGTTTCTTCGTTCGCTTTTCCCCTCACTCACTGGACCATTTCAGCAAGGTTTCAACTCAATAATAATTTAAGAGCTACGACGCGTTAAAGCATGTTGAATCATTTTATTGGATAATGTAATATTCTGAACAACCACGTTTCAGGTTCCGGTGACCCTCTGCGGTATTGCGATCGCATGGGCTTCCACTCTGAAAGTGCTACGTCTGTACAGTTCCCGTAGATTGGATTCTTTGTCCTGCGAGGATATTTTTTGTATAACATCAATTCGCTAAGTTTTACGGCGGTGTGTCACCATCCTTCGGATCTAACGGCCTTGGAACCATCTGAACAAGTCGTGGTTCTGCCGTATTCATAGGTTTATCAGCGAATGATATACAATACCGGCAATGCATGGATGCGTTCGCATCATTTATGGGCACAAATATTGCGCTGCTTTTCACCAGTGGTTTCGAGGTTGGGTGTTTACCTACGTTTTACCAGAAAAGTCTAGAGATGGTTTGATGCCTTGTGAACATATTAATTATCAAAATTTCAGCTGCACTACAAATTACAAAGATATAATTGCATAAATTTATTAAATGCATGGTAAGCTTTAATTCAAGTCGAGTACTTAGAACTTCAGAGGATTCCTAAAATCCGGGTCCTATAAAAGTCAGACTGATCTTTGCAATATGGCCAATTGTCCTGTGCTTCTCTGACGGAGTTAGTGGTTCATGTGCCCCATTAACGCTGGCTTAACGGATATCCTTATGGCTGCTTGCTATGCCTTAAAACAGTTTTATGCGCGGTCTAGTCATAAGATCTAACCAAACTTCGACCGAAAACGGTAGATGACGCCATTTACGAAAGTCACATGACTGAATATAATGAAGGATGAATGAAATGACGGAATGAGTAAATAAACCAATGAATGATTCAAGATTTATTGTCTCAAAGACATCGCAATTTGTATCAGACCATAGTTTACAATGCGTCGATTACCGAATATATGTGAGTTTCACAGCTCATCGATAGAGGACACCTACTCAGCAAGGTCGAAAGTTATAAACTTCAGAATCTTTGTTGTCAAAGCTAGACAAGGTGATGTTCTAAATAGTTAATAAGTAATAGTTATAGTTAAGTTAATAAGTAATAGTTAAGTTAACTAATGTAACATGCATTTGGATTTACAGATACTCAGGTATCACGGATCTGTCGTCTGTATGCCTGATCAGAACGAGAAGTAATGGGGCAATAATTTACGGAATGATAATGCGTTTTTAAAAGCACTTAATCGTTCTAAATTACAAAGACATTATCTCTAACATGTTACACGGTTCTTAATTCATCAAAAATTACAGGGGTTGAAAC